GAGGAGGAGGAGCAGGAGGAGGAGGATGAGGAGGCGGAGGCGGAGGCGGAGGCGGAGGCGGAGGCGGAGGCGGAGGCGGAGGCGGAGGCGGAGGCGGAGGCGGAGGAGGAGGAGGAGGAGGCGGCGGAGGAGGAAGAGGAGAGCCGTGTGTCTCCTCGGGGGCGGGCGTTTGGGAGGCGACGGGGCTGGGCGTGCCGCGACCGTGGCGCACCTGGCGCGGCTGGAGCATGCGGCACACATGGCGCACGTGGATCACGTGGCGCATTTGGCGCACCAGCCGTACCTGGCATGTTTGGGCCACAGGGGTGCCTGGCGCACCTGACGCGCGTGGCGCGCTTGGCACGAGTGGCGCACCTCGCCCCAGCGTTGCGCACATGGGATCTGAGCCGACCGCTGAACATGCTGAGGCCCGGGTGCTACTTCTGTGTTGGGAGGGCGGGTGGGAGTGAGCGGGACAGCTTCTGGGTGGGGAGGGTGTTTTGACGCCAACCCTCCGGGACCCCTCCCCCAGGACCCCTCCCCTCATCCAGGGGAGGGATCAAACGGCGTTGTTTGGTTTCCGTCTGGCTGGAACGCTTAAGGAGGAGAGCCCAGGTCAAGGGGGGGAGCGGCGACGGCGACGACGACTCACGCGGAAAAAGCGATTCACACACGCCGACAGGGCCGTCGAATTTTTACCATCGGAGTGAACGACGGATACATTTGTTCTGGGACTGTTCGGAAGATGCGCCGCGGCAGACAGCTTCCGCTTCTCTCTCTCTCTCTCTCGCTCCTCTTTGTGTTTTTGCACCCCTTCTGCATCTGCAGCCCAAGGCCCCTTCTGGAGCCTCTTGAATGCAGCAGCCCATGCAGGGGGGGGGGTCCTGCTGCCGCTGTGCCGACATGGACGCTGGCGGGGATTTAGGGATCTCTGCTGATGTCCGCCACGCTGGCGATGTTGTGGTCGGCGTTTTTGGGGGGGACTTGCCGCCAGTCTCGGCCAGATCCGTGGCCACAGAGGGGCCGCAAGCCCTCGTCGTGCTCCTATTTTTGTTCGCTCCGCCCCTCCAAACGATACCGATGTCGAGTGCTTGAGTCCGTGCGCAGATCTAGTCGAAGTGACGATGGTATTGGGCAGGCAATAATGCAGCGATCCCGACATGGCCTAGTCGTTGTTTTCTTGGAGCTCTTACTCCAGGCCAGGCGTGGCTGGGCTTGCCGCCTCTTCATGGGTGACGTGAGTGAGGATCTGGGGGGAAGAGCGCTGCTTACATTTGAGTGTTGGACACCGCATCTTGAGCTGTGCATTGGCTTTTCAAGTGTAGTTGGTAATGTTTCGGCGAATGGTTGTGGCAGACATTGCGCAGTCCTTTGATACTTGTTCTTGGAACGCCGTGTGCGCTGAAAGCGTGGATAGTTTGTTTTGTGCTCTGTGGCATCTTGTTTGTAGTAGTGTGCTGTAATCTAACTATGGACACGATCCTGCATGCTCTCCAGTCGGCTCGAATGTAAGTCGGGTTATTCATTGGCTTACGCCACACCGCCGACCCATTAGGGCGGCAGCAATCGTCCCCCGCGTGGCCTGTCTGGACAGCCTGTGAGGCCCCTCTAGACACGTTTTGGAGCCCTCTTAGGACCGTCCTGCCGTTCCCCTGGGCCGTTGCTATGGTTTCTGGGGCCTTCGTGGGGCGCCCGGGGGCCGTCGTGGAGCCTTTTGGAGAGTCTCTTGGGGTGCCAGAGGTCGATCTTGGAGGTTTAGCGGGCCGTTGTGGGCCTCGTGGAAGCCCAAGAAACGAATGTGCTGAAAATGTACGTTTTCCCTAGGGAATGGGGCGGCTTTTGTTTCTGGAGGCCTGCTTGGAGCGCCTCGTGGTCGCGTGTGCAAACGTCCTGGACGTCCATGGGGCTGTCTGGAGGCAACCTTGGGCGGTTTGGACCGAATCGTCCCCCGCGTGGGCCGTCCGGACAGCCTTTGGGAGCCCTCTTGGCCCGCTTTGGAGTCCTCTTTGGACCGTCCTGCCGTTCCCCTGGGCCGTTGCTATGGTTTCTGGAGCCTTCGTGGATCGCCCGGAAGTTGTCTTGGAGCCTTCTTGGGAGCCTCTTCGGGTGACAGGGGTCGATTTTTGAGGTTTATTCTCCTGCACAGGGTGTCTAGAGCTCCGACCACTTTCTTTCGGCGTCGTCGTCGCTCCCCCCCAGCTGCCTTGTCCCCTTCATGTGTCGCTATATGTGTCGCTGTGTGCCTTGTGCCCTTCATGTGCCGCTATATGTGTCGCTGTGTGTCGCTATGCGTCTCCATGTGTGCGTCGCTATGTGTCGCTGTGTGTCGCTATGCGTCGATATGTGTGTGTCGATATATGTCTCTATATGTCGATATGTGTCGACATGTGTCGCTATGTGTCGCTCCCCAGCACCCCAGCGCACCGCCCCCTCCGCCCCGACGACTTTATTTCGGCGTCGTCGTCGCCCCCCCCCCTCTCCCTCTCCTCAGCAGCCCAGCGCGCTGCCCCCTCCGCCCCGACCACTTTATTTCGGCGTTGTGTCGACATGTGTCGCTATGTGTCGCTCCCCAGCACCGCACCGCCCCCTCCGCCCCGACGACTTTATTTCGGCGTCGTCGTCGCCCCCCCCCCCCCCCTCTCCCTCTCCTCAGCAGCCCAGCGCGCTGCCACCTCCGCCCCGACCATTTTATTTCGGCGTCGTCGTCGCCCCCCCCCGGCCCTTTTCCCGGGCAGCCCAGCGCGCCGGCCCCTCCGCCCCGACCATTTTATTTCGGCGTCGTCGTCGCCCTATTTCGGCGTTGCGTCGACATGCGTCGCTTTCCCCAGCAGCCCAGCGCACCGCCCTCTCCGCCCCGACGATTTTATTTCGGCGTCGTCGTCGCCCTATTTCGGCGTTGTGTCGACATGCGTCGCTTTCCCCAGCAGCCCAGCGCACCGCCCTCTCCGCCCCGACGACTTTATTTCGGCGTCGTCGTCGCCCCCCCGCCCCCCCCCCTCCCTCTCCTCAGCAGCCCACGCGCTGCCCCCTCCGCCCCGACTGCTTTTTTCGTCGTCGCGTCGCCCCCCTGTCCGTTTCCCCAGCAGCTCGCGCGCCGCCCTCCCGCCCCGACCAATTTTGTTTCGGCGTCGTCGTCGCCCCCGCCCCCCCCATCCCCCTCTCCCGAGCACACAACGCGCTCGCCCCCTTCGCCCCGACCAATTATTTCGGCGTCGTCGTCGCCCCCCCCCCCCCCTTCTCCCCAGCAGCCCAGCCCGGCGCACCGCCCCCTCCGCCCCGACCATTCTCTTGCACAGGACGTCTAGAGCTCCGGCCATTTTATTTCGCGTCGCTCCCCCCCCCCCCGCGTCCTCAGCGCCAGAGTGGGGCCCCCGCGCCGTGGCTCTCTGCCCCAAGCCCCCCCGCGTCCCCAGCGCCCCAGCGGGGGCCCCGCCCACTGCCCCCTCCGCCACGAACGCTTTATCCCGCGTCGCCCCCCCCCGCCCCCCCGCGTCCCCAGCGCCAGTGTGAGGCCCCCGCGCCGTGGCTTTCTGCCCCGAGCCCACCGCGTCCCCAGCGCCCCAGCGGGGGCCCCGCCCACTGCCCCCTCCGCCACGAACGCTTTATCCCGCGTCGCACCTCCCCCCCCTCCCCCGCGTCCCCAGCGCCAGTGTGGGGCCCCCGCGCCGTGGCTCTCTGCCCCAAGCCCCACCGCGCCCCCAGCGCCCCAGCGGGGCCCCCGCCCACTGCCCCCTCCGACACGAACGCTGTATTACGCGTCGCACCCCCCCCCTCCGCGCCCCCAGCGCCAGAGTGGGACCCCCGCGCCGTGGTTCTCTGCCCCGAGCCCCCCCGCGTCCCCAGCGCCCCAGCGGGGGCCCACGCCCACTGCCCCTTCCGCCACTAACGCTTCATCCCGCGTCGCGCCGCACACCACCTCCCCCACCTCCCTCCCCGCGTCCCCAGCGCCCCAGTGGGGACTCCGCCCCGTGCCCCCTCCGCCCCGACAATTTTATTCCGCGTCGCGACGCACGCCACCTCCCCCCCTTCCCCCCCTTTCCCCAGCGCCCCAGTTGGACCCCCGCCCCGTGGCCCTCTGCCCCAAGCCCCGCCCAGTGCCCCCTCCGCCCCGACAGTTTATTCCGCGTCGCGGCACACACCACCCCCCCTCCTCTCCGCGCCCCCAGCGCCCCAGTGGGACCTCCGCCCCGTGCTCCCTCCGCTCCGACCACTTTATGCCGCGTCGCGGCGCGCGCCGCCTCCCCCACCCTCCCCACCTGGGACTTGGGCCCCGTTGCTGGGCCCAGAGGGCGATGCCTTGCCCCCTCTCCCCCCCTCCTCCTCCACCTCCACCTCCTCCTCCTCCTCCTCCTCCTCCTCTTGCTCCTCCTCCTCCTCCTCCTCCTCCTCCTCCTCCTCCTCCTCCTAGCCCATTTGGTCAAGCATTTGCTGCGCCGTGGGCTGCACCCTCGCATTTGCGTCCCCCCGTCGCGTCGCCCGCCCCCCCATGCCGTGCAGGGCGCGTCTGGAGTGGCTGGAGCGTCAGCTCCAGGGTGGTGCCAACATCACCATGAGCGCCAGCTTCAACGCGGCCACCTCGTCGGAGAAGTATATTTTCAAGCTCCACCCGGCTGGAGCTACCCACCTTCCTCGGCCATGCATGGCAGCCGTCTTGAAGGCCTTGATGGCTCGGGAGCCGTTGCAGTGCAGTAGCGACCATGGTCGTCGGCACCGCCGCTCTGGGATCAGCGAGGTGACGATGTATTTTCAGCCTGATCCTTTTCGAGGTCCTGCTGATGGCGGCGCTAGTGGTGGAGATGAAGACGGCGACAACGGAGGTGACCCCTTTCGTGGTCCTCGTCATGGCAGTGGTCGGCGGCGTCGTGGTTTCGGCAACGACCAGGCGGGAGGAAATGACGATCCGTGGTGGGGCGGGGGCGACCCGTGGACTCAGGGCCCTTTGGCGAAAGCTCCCAGACGCCACGATGCTCACCCAGGTCCTACTGCCCAGGCCCCCGATGGGTTATCTGGCTTGCCTGCTGTCCCTCACTTTCCTGAGTTTTCCTGGAACCGTGATGCGCCCGTGTTCGTGCCGAAAGTTGAGGACATCGTGGACCGAATGATTTATGAGCATGGTTGCGGGGAGGACCTCGTGCTTGCTGATGGTGGCTCTCTATTTGCTGGTCAGGCTGATTTCCCTCCTGAGACGATGAGGAAGTATGAGGATCTCTCTTTCGGCACGGTGCTCAACGCTGACGGGGTCGTCGGCGCAATGCAGGAGCAGGAGGCCTTCATCGACCAGGTGCTCTACGAAGCGGTGGGATACGATGACGTGGGCGGAGACATGTGGGAGAAGGCGACGCAGGAGGCCATCATCGATCAGGTGCTCTACGACGACGGCTTCGACTTCGAGCACCACGTGGAAAGCAGCGACGGGAGGCAGCACGAGCAGGAGGACACCATTGACCAGGTGCACTACGACGACGGCCGCGACGTCGAGCAGCGGGACGTCGAGGGCTCCGGTGGCGGCTTCGGTGGTTCGGTTGGGGTGGCGGCGGCGCCGGCCAGGGCATTGGCGGCTGGGGTGGAGGCGGCGGCGGCGGCTAGGGCTGGGAGGGAGGCGACCTTCCCCACGAGTCTCGAGGAGACCGATTGCGATCTTGACCTCGAGGCTGGCCACGTCGATGAAGTGACGGAAGTGGCGGCTGCTGACCCTCACTTTCCGGAGTTTTCCTGGAACCGTGATGCGTCCGTGTTCGCGCCGAAAGTTGATGACATCGTGGACCGAATGATTTATGAGCATGGTTGCGGGGAGGACCTCGTGCTTGCTGATGGTGGCTCTCTAATTGCTGGTCAGGCTGATTTCCCTCCTGAGACGATGAGGAAGTATGAGGATCTCTCTTTCGGCGCGGTGCTCAACGCTGACGGGGGCGTCGGCGCAATGCAGGAGCAGGAGGCCTTCATCGACCAGGTGCTCTACGAAGCGGTGGGATGCGATGACGTGGGCGGCGACATCTGGGAGAAGGCGACGCAGGAGGCCATCATCGATCAGGTGCTCTACGACGACGGCTTCGACTTCGAGCACTACGTGGAAAGCAGCGACGGGGGGCAGCACGAGCAGGAGGACATCATTGACCAGGTGCACTACGACGACGGCCACGACGTCGAGCAGCGGGACGTCGAGGGCTCCGGTGGCGGCTTCGGTGGTTCGGTTGGGGTGGCGGCGGCGCCGGCCAGGGCATTGGCGGCTGGGGTGGAGGCGGCGGCGGCGGCTAGGGCTGGGAGGGAGGCGACCTTCCCCGCGATTCTCGAGGAGACCGATTGCGATCTTGACCTCGAGGCTGGCCACGTCGATGAAGTGACGGAAGTGGCGGCTGCTGACCAGTTGGGCGGGCCCGCTTCGGAGGACATTCCTGCCAAGATGGAGAGCGAGTTGCTGGACGAGGACCTCTTTGCGGACTTTGATGTATTCGATGGTGGTGGAGGGGATTCGTGTTCGGCGGCGCGGTCGAGCCGCCCTGGGGCCCCCCGCGCCTCGAGGAGGGTCCAGCGGTCGGCGGGGGCCAAGAAGAAGGCGCTGCTCAAGGAGAAGCTGGCTATGAGCACTTCGTGACTGTGATCTCTGCGGCTGAGTGTGAGAGGGAGTGGCTTCGGTGGTCTGGCCCTTTTACGGGTCGGCACGGCCAGGGGGGCGCCTCGTGTGGGCCCCCCTGGTGATGCCGCATACCTCTGCGTTCGGGACTCAGTGGAGGGTGCTTCGGTGGTCTGGCCCTTTTCGGGGTCGGCAGGGCCAGGCGGGTGCCTCGTGCGGGCGCCTCTGGTGGCGCCCCATACCCTGGCGCCTCGGGAGGGCGGGGCTCGCTGCGAGCTCTGCGTGGGGGTGGGGTGGGGGGGGGGAACTCCTCCTCCTCCTCCTCCTCCTCCTCCTCCTTCCTTTTTGAGCAAGGGCTATGGCACACGTGCCACTTGTTGGGCCGTTGTGGGCCTCGTGAAAGCCCGAGAAGCGAATGTGCTGAAAATGTGTGTTTTCCCTAGGGAATGGGGCGGTTTTTGCTTCTGGAGGCCTGCTTGGAGCGCCTCGTGGTCGCGTGTGCAGGCGTCCTGGACGCCCATGGGGCTGTCTGGAGGCAGCCATGGGCGGTTTGGACCGAATCGCCCCCCGCGTGGGCCGTCCGGACAGCCTTTGGGAACCCTCTTGGCCCGTTTTGGAGCCCTCTTGGGCCCGTCCTGCTGCGGCTTTCCTGGGCCGTTGCTATGGTTTCTGGAGCCTTCGTGGATCGCCCGGAAGCTGTCTTGGAGCCTTCTTGGGAGCTTCTTCGGGTGACAGGGGTCGATTTTTGAGGTTTATTGGGTCGTTGTGGGCCTCGTGAAAGCCCGAGAAGCGAATGTGCTGAACATGTGTGTTTTCCCTAGGAAATGGGGCGGTTTTTGCTTCTGGAGGCTTCTCGGAGCGCCTCGTTGTCGCGTTTTCAAACGTCTTGGACACCTATGGGGCCGTCTGGCGACGATCTTGGGCGGTTTGGACCAAATCGTTCCCCGCGCGGGCTGTTCGGATAGTCTTTTGGGGTCCTCTTGCTCCGTTTTGGGGCCCTCTTGGGGCCGTCCTGCGGCTTTCCTGAGCCGTTGCTATGGTTTCTGGGGCCTCCGTGGATCGCCCGGGCGCCGTTCTGGAGCTTTTTTGGGGGCCTTTTGGGCTGTCGAGGGTCGTTCTTGGAGGCTTCTTGGGCCGTTTTGCGCCGCAAGGAAGCCGAATGGGCGAATGTGGTGAACAAGTGCGTTTTCCTTAGGGAATGGGGCGATTTTTGCTTCTGGAGGGCCTCTTTGGGGCGCCTCGTAATATTGTTTCAAACGTCTTCGGGGCTTCTGGAGCCGCGTGGAGGGAATCTTCGGCGTTTTGGGGCAATCTCTCGTCGATTCGTAGCTCTCTTGGACCGTTCCGGGAACCTGCGGGACCTTTTGGGCCCGTTTTGTGACCTCCTCACGCTCCAAGTGTGCGGATGATGGATTTGCCCTCCCCCCCCCCCCCTCCAGACCGGCCGGGCCAGGCCCCCGGGGGAGGGGTTTGGGGAGGGGGAAGCATTTCACATGCCGTGACCCCGAGGGGTCGGCGGACTCTGTGCATGACAATATGTTTGCCCAGGTCTATCAATAGTCCACTTTGCTCTCGTATGCCTGCTCTCTTCCCTGTTTCGGTCTCCTTCAGAGAAGGGGAGAGATACGGAATAACTCGGGCACATATTATTTTGACTATGTGTTTTTTGGGGGGGGACGGAAGAGACACTTTTACATGCCATTGTTTCCACATGTGTACACGAATGTCATATACCTTTTTTGTCCTCCTGCCGCTTTGACTAACCACACCACGTGCTAGTTGTCTTCTGTGGTCGCTGGACTCGTGTGTAATCTGTTGCGCGTGCCCCCTTCTACAATGCCACTCTGTTCTCTTCGTTGTTGCTTCTTTTCTGTTAGCTATTGTGATTCGCCTCTCTGCCTTGTTTTGCATGCCATGGCATGTTTAATAGGCTTGCCGTTCCGCCAGCCCCCATCAGAGGATATGTGCGTTTGGCATGTGCTGTTCTCTGCTTCTCGTCGTGCTGCCTGCGTGTAGTTGTTGCTGATGTGTCCTCGTTGTTTTCGCGTCAGTTGCGGGGCTTTTTTGGTGCGATTTGGAGGCCCAGGTGGCGGCCTCTTGGGGGCATGTGAGGGTCTTTTGGGCCATCTTGTGGGGGAGGGCCCCCGGGGGGAGTTCCCCCTCTTTGCCCCCTCCTTGCCCTCTCTTCGCCCCCCGCCCCCCCCCCTGGAGCCCTCTTGAACGCATTTGTGTCTTGGGCCCTATTGGTCAGTCTGATGGCCCTTTTCTGGGCCTCCTGCGTCATCATGGGCTGGTCTGACGGACCTCTTGGGCCGTCATTGGGTTTTCAGCGGACTGGATGGCAGGAGCGCGAGCATCATCAAAGCATGTCGGACATCAATGGTTATTGCATCTCGAGGCGTCGCCTTCCCTGCCACAGAACTTGGAGCTGTTGCCCCCCGCCTGGTAGGTGCCTGGCAGCTCGAACTCGGCGGGGGCGTTGCCCCCCTGTGCCGACACGAATGATTATCCTCCCGCTTTGCCCGATGCTTTGGGCCATTTGGGCTCGGGTGCTCGGCCGATTTTGAACAACGGCTGGGCGCAGATGCTGGCCCTTGGGCTGTAAGCCCTCGACGCCGCGCGGCGGCGGGTCAGCAAGGTGCTCCGCGAGTAAGACCTCCTCGGCCCGCGCCTGGCGCTGCAGACGGAGGATGCCGAGTTCAAGGAAACGTTCGCGCAGGTGGCGGAGGCCGCGGGCTTCAGCGTGGAGGAGGCGCGGGGGCCGCTGAAGGAGTTCGTAGACCAGGCAATGGCCAAGGAACCAGTGCAGAAGCGGCTGAGGGCGTTCTATGTCTGCCCTAAGCGAGCCATTCTAGAGGACGCCATTGCATGCTCCAGGATGGCTGCCAGCCGAGGTGCGTCCGAGGCCCAACCGCCGCCGGGGGCCCGTGCGATGGCGGGGGCCCGTTTCGCTCGGAGGATCCGCGCGGCTGTTGGGGAGAACCGTCGCAATCTGGAGGTGCGAGAGTGGGCTCGGCGGCGGCGGGCCCGCCTTGTCGCGCTGCTCGAGGAAATGGGGGCGCGGGCGAAGGGCGGCATCGCGGGCCGCACGCGCATCAGCACGGTGAGGTCGTATGTGCGGGCCATGTAGACGATGTGCAGGTAGCTCTTGCGCGCGCACGGGGTTCTGTGGCCCGTGGCGATCGTGCACTTCATCGACTGCGTGCGTGCCAGGGCCGCTGAGCCGTGTGGGCTGACGGTGCCCGACCAGGTCTTGCGCACCATGGTGTGGGCGGAGCGCGTGGCAGGCGTGGGCCAGAACGACAGGCTTTCCACTCGACCTGAATTCCAGCAGGTCGTCGCGAATGTGGAGATGCTCCTCGGTGCGGGCAAGGGCCCGACGACGAGGGCCGTGCGTTTCCCCGGCGCGTTCATCGGGGCCTTGGGGCGGCTGTTCATGGACGAGGATCTCGCGCGATGCCTTCGCCTTCGCTTCGCCAAGGTGTGGGCAATGATGTGCTGCGACGACAGCAGTTGGTTCCCGCCGCAGCGCCTTGCCTTCGCGTCGTGGGCGGGGGTTTGGGGGCCGCGCTGGGGCGCGCGAAGACCCTCGCGGGGCAGGGCGCAAGATGCTGGAGCTGCCGCTCATTGTGCCCCGCGAGTGCTCCCAGCATGGACCCAGACGGGCTTCGGCCTGCGGCGGGAGGCAGCGGATTTCAAGAGGGGCCACTTCGTGCCGCGGTGTGACGGCGCGGGGCAGGAGGTGGTCCGCAAGCCCGCCGCGTGCGCAGAGGCCGCGGCAGCGGGGCAGGAGGTGATTCTGAGGTCGCTGAAGCCCGCGTGCGCAGGCGTGGAAGTCGAGCTTTGCATGTCCGGTGAGGCCGTGAGGCTCTGGGCGACAGAGCATTCGGAGCGGGCGACGAGCCCTTCGGCCATGGCGGCGACGGGGATTCCGAAGAGCAAGCGCGACTGCATGGGCAGGTGGTCGCCAGGGGGCGCGGGCGCCCGCGGGAGGGCGCGCCGCGCGGTCGTGTCCAGGCTTCAGCGGCGGTTCGTGGAGGCGTTGCGTCCTGGGGGGCCTGCGTTGAGCTGGGCGAGGCGGCGGCCGTTCCAGATTTGGCGAGCCCGGTGGTCTGGGGGAAAAACTTCTCGGCGCGGGAGGCTGCGACCGTGGCGGCTGAGACCTGCGCGGCCATCGAAGCCTGCGATGGCGGGGTGGCCGCGGTGGGCGGCAGCCCCAGGGGCCGCCGTTGAGAATGAACATGTGGAAGACGCCGCGCCGCCGGTGAGGGGGGCAACCTCCCCCGCGAAAAGCGCGGGGGGCAGAGGGCGGACGTGGGCCGACGATCCGAGCGGGGCCATCGCGGCGCTGGGCTCCACGCGAGGCTGTGCGCGAGGCCCGGTGAGCTCCGAACTTCAAGAAGAACAGGTCGACGGGCAACCCTGGGAACGCCTACGCGGTGATCAGTGGTAATTTGCGGTGTTCTCCGTCGAGTTTTCGGAGGGGCCGAGGTCGCGCGGGGTGGCGCCGAGCCTAGATTGGCTACTGCGCAACAAAAACACCAGGAGGTCAGCGACCTGAGCAACATGAAGACGGGCCTCGACGAGCCCCTCAGGGCCCACGCGGCGGCCGCGGACCTGCGCCCGGTGCGTCTCGGACGACGTCGCGCTGGCCGAGCTGGATGTGGCGACGGCGGCGCGCGGGGTCCCGTGCGACCCCTTCTGGGCGAGGGGCCCAGCGCGAGGACCTATGGCGTGCCTGCGAGATAATCTTGACCCCCCCCCCCCCCTGTGGGCGCCGCAGCGGTGGCGAGGGGGCCCGGGGCGGGAAGGGCGCCCCCAACCGCGGGGGGCTCTGCGGAGGGTGGGCAGGGCTTCGAGACCGCGCCCGCGTCCCTTCGCGCGCGAGCGCGGAGCGGTAGGGGGGTGGCGGCGTCTGCGACACTGGGTGTGTGGAGCGAGGTGTGGTGGCGGGCTTCGACGCTAGCGGCGTCCGGTGGGGGGCCCCGGGGTCCGCGCCCCACCTCTCTGGGCCTCCGCGGAAGGGTTCGGGCCCCTGCGCGGCGGGCCCCCGCTTGCACCGCCCGCAAAAGAGGCGTCAACGCCACCGCCCCCTTTGTGCTGCCATCGCCTTGCTTTTGGGGTTATTCGACGATGTGCTCCCGTGTGTCAGCGCGAATGTGGCCCCTCTCGCTCCGCCCGATGCCTGTGGCCATGTGGGCGCAGGCGTTCGGCCGATTTTGAGCAACCCACCCGCCGCCTTGGCGCATCGGGTGCGTGGGGGCGGCTCGGGCCCCTGCGTTGCGCGGCCCCCCTTTCCGCCGCCCGCAAAAAAGGGGCCGGCGCCGCCTCCCTCGCCTACCGCCATCGCGCCGTTTGTGGGGCCAGTTGAACATGCTCCTACTTGTCTCGTTCCCCTCCTCGTCCTCCTCCTTGTTTTCCAACCATCTCGCATGGGCTTGCCTGTGGCAGGTCGGTGCCCGTGGCCTTATCTTGGTTTGCCTGGCGATTGTTTTTCCGCGCCACTGTGCTAGTCGCGCCGTGGCGAGACTCGGTGGTCGCGCGCCCTTCGACAAAGCAACAGTGCGCGCCGCGCGCATCTCGCGCGCGAGCTGACGAGAGGAGAGACTCGGTGGTCGCGCGCCCCTCGACAAAGCAACAGCGCGCGCCGCGCGCATCTCGCACGCGAGCTGACGAGAGGAGCTGGCGAGAGCGCCCGCTTGTCGGCCGGCGCCTGTGAGTGCACCTGTCGACCCCTCGACCCCCCCGCCCCCCGTGCCTCTCGGGGGCGGGGCCGATCGGAAGACCGCGGGGCCTCTCAGGTGCAGCTGCGGCGAGGGCGTCGGGGAAAATATGCCATTTGATAAGGAAGCAGGGTCTGAAAGCTGGTGAAAGCCCAATCGCGGGTTGGCCATGGATATCACCGCCGCCTTCGTCAGATAATGAATCCCCCGGGGCTTCAAATCTCCCGGGCGCAATCCTAAGCGAACGCCTCCACCGTGGACGCCATAGCATGCGCAGGTGCGAGCGCGTCCTGAGCGACAATCGAACTTGGTAATGCGTCGCTTTCTCTGGGCCCCCCAATCGATCGCATCGCTAGATGCGGGGCGCTAAGCTAGCAGGCGCGATGTAAAGCTCGACCGTCCTGCATCCGTTGCCCATCCAGTCAGTGAGTTTTCCTGGCTGGGCTGAGACCACCGTCGATCTTCACACTGACATCTTCTGGCGACCTCTGAAGGCCACGTCTATCACGAACGGTTTGCCCATCCAGCGCAATCATTTTCCCGAGCTGAACGGCGTTCTGCGGTCCTCTTCTCCTGCGCTGTTCCCATGTTGGAGATAGGCGCTGGCAGCGCAAACCCTCCGTGCGCGCAATCGCCAACTCACGCGCGGACGTAACTGGACTTGAACCGCGGCTCTTTGGGCCGATCTCATGGGCATTTCCATTTTGACGGCCAAACCTACTTTCGTGGAGTGGCCTCAAGGCCAGATCTCGTCACGAACTTCGAAATAGACGTTCCAACCGACCTTATTTACCTAGAGTATTCGTATATTTTGCTGTGTCCGATGAGCGGTCCTTGCGCCTTATCGGCCCAGGGGGATGCTTGCCGGCTTCCAGTAATGATTTCTCCCTGCGAAGCTTCTCTCCCCGCGCCGCCGCGGGAAATGTCGTGCTCTTGCGTGGCGTTGCAATTTCCTTGGAATGGCTGCGCGTCATGACATTTGCGCGTGATCTATTCGCCCTTGCGCATTCGCGCGCGCGGGCGAGCGCGTGGTGCCCGCGTCATCAGGAGCCATCGTATGTTTTTTGAAGCGATAAGTTGAATGAGACATTGTTTCGCGCGGAAGCGTTGCGCGAGCAAGGGCAATTCTGCGCGCCCTCGCCGCGCGCGTTCCGCACTTTTCCTGGGCGCCCAAAAGTTGCGCATACTTTCCCGAAACGTAGGCCGCGCGAGAAAAACATTGCGTGCAATTGGTGTTCTGGCAACTGTCACACACTTGGCGGCTCGCGCGGATAGTATTTGTCGCGCCCAGATTTCCAGAAACTGAAATACAGTCGGTCGTGTAAGCTTTCCGAAATTTGTCAGGGCAGCAATTTCATGCAATTTCAGTAACAAATCAGACATTCAGAAACAAGTTAAATGCGTTGATTTGGGGTAGGTGAGCCAGTTGAACACGCGAACGTATGACCAGCTCTCTGGGGCGACAGTCGAAACTTTGCACCGCTTCTTTTTGGAGCGGTGGTCAAAGCAGAAGGGCCGTTCGCCCTCGCCGCCTGGTGCGCGCGAGCCCGGTGCCTGCGCGGGGCTGGAACTTATGCCCCACGCGCCTTCCCGAACGCCCACTGCTGGGGGCCGATCAGCATTGCCCGTGCATCGTTTTGGGCTTGTGCGCATTGCGCTCCTGCAAAAAACAGATTGTAGCCGAGGCGTAAGTCTCCAAGAAAGGCTGGCACCGCGGCCACCTGGTGACCCTGACCGTGAGTATACCCGGGGAGTGGTCAGGAACGCAAGTGGGCACGGCCTGCTGCGCTGCTGCGCCCCGCTGGGCTCACTCCGGGTCTTTCTCTCGTTGCCGCTGTTTTGCTGTTCTGCTCTAGTTGCCACGTCCCTGTCAACATCGGTGGCGTGGGCAACGCCAGCAGCCGCAGCGCCAGCACCGCTGGTGGCGCGCCTCCCGCGGCGGGCGGCTGTGCTGCTGCCGCGGGGGGCTGGGCGGTTGCGAAGACGGCCTCCGTGGCGCCGCGCTTGTGTTCAAAGGCCGCTCGCAGTGTTGGAGCTTGCGCTGCTGCTCCTGCTGGCAAGGCCTCCGTGCGAGGGCGTCCATGGCGGTCTTGACCTTCGCGATCTCCATGGGCTTGGCCTGCGGCGCCTGGGTTGCCAGATGTTGGGCGGCTCGCTGCTTGGCCTCCTCGAGCATTTTGGTAACTGTAGCCAGCTTCACCGATTCCTTGGGCGTCGACTTGCGGCGCTTCCGCCTTGGGCCCAGATACTCCCAGATGCTGCGTGACCCTGTGGTGCGCCAAGGAATGTCGCTGAGGCCTCGGGACCGACTGCGACACCAGCGCGAACTGCTCCTCGGACATCTTGGCCACATCTCCGTCTCCTCTGGCGTGGGGATCCTCATTTTGGCGGCGCTTCGTGGCCCTTGCCGCAACCACCGCCACCCCTCTTGTTCCCCTCGGGTGCTCCGTTCGTCCGCGCTCCACTAGGCCCCCAGCGCCAGTCTGGGAACGGCGGCATGGAGGCGTTCGGGTTGTTGCCAATGCACCCCGCTTGCTTGCACTTACTACGGTGCCCGTAGTTGAAGAGACCGCACGAGCCATATGACCAGCTTGGCGCCATCGCGGGAATGGTCGAACTGGCACAGGAGCGGTCATTGTCTCTAGGAAGAAGTGGGGCGTTGTGTCCAAAGGGGCTCGAGCCCGCCTGCGCGTGGACGGTCCAAAGCAAATCCGAATTCGGCACCGACTGCCTCCATGCGTTCAGTCTTGAGCCACAACGGCTACGGGTCCTCCTCCCTCCATCCACCTCTTCCTCCTCCTCCTCCTCTTCCTCCTCCTCCGCCTCTTTCTCCTCCTCCTCCTCCTCCTCCTCCTCCTCCTCCTCCTCCTCCTCCTCCTCCACGTCCTCTTCCTGTCCCCCCCGCCTGGGCCCCATGGCCCAGGAGGAGTTTCCAAGGCCCCTCGCCATAGGCCCCCCTCACGCCTTTCAGGAGCCTTGCGAGGCTGGGGGCCAAGCGCTGGCAGCATCGATTGTGCAGGAGGGAGCAGCGCCCCTCTAGCACGTGCCGATCCTCCTCCCTCCTCCTCCTCCTCCTCCACCTCCTCCTCTTCCTCATCCTCCTGCTCCTCCTCGTCCTCCTCCTCCTCCTCTTTCTCCTCCTCCTCGTCCTCCTCCTCCTCGTCTCCTATCCACCTGCTCTTCCTCCCCCTCCTCCCCCTTCGCCTCCTCCCCCTCAGCCTCCTCGCCCTCCCTCTATCCTCCACGTCCGCCACGTCCTCCCCCTCCGCCTCGCCCCCGAAGCCTCAGGCGTCGGTGCGGTTGCGTGCTTTGTGGTAAATTCCGAACCCGAACCCGAACCCGAGCGCGGCTCGTCTGCCCATGTGCTCGCTGCTCGCCCCGAAGCCTGGTCTCCCTGTCGCCTGCCGGCCCGCCGGCCCCCTCCGACGCAAGGCGGCGCCCGCCGCCGCCGCCGAGCTGCTGGACCTGTCCGACGTGGCGTGGGCTGCGCCACGCCAGGCCTGGGGCGCATCGGCACCACGACGGCGAGCTCGACGGCGACGACGACGACGGCGACGATGACGACGAGGACGACGAGGACGACGAGGAGGAGGAGGAGGCGGAGGAGGAAGAGGCGGAGGAGGAGCAAGAGGCGGAGGAGGAGGAGGAGCAAGAGGAGGAGGAGGAGGAGGAGGAGGAGGAGGAGGAGGAGGAGGAGGAGGAGGTGGAGGAACAGGAGGAGGAGGCGGAGGAGGAGGAGGAGGAGGAGGAGGGAGGAGGAGGAGGAGGAGGAGGAGGGGGAGTGCCGCAGGGCCCCCACGGGCGGCGCTGGGCGCGGCGCCCAGCTGCGCGCCATGGCGGCAGACAACGCTAACCGTGGCCGTGGCGCCTGCGACGCCTGGCCCCCGGCAGGGGGCATTCTGCGCCCCCCTGTCCCCTGCCGCGGGTCCGGCACCGCCAATCTTGCCTACGGGAGACAGTCCGGGCCCTTGGGGGCCTAGGCCTCATAACGACGAGGCTTCCCTGAAGGCCTACCGCAGGCTGGCCTACCCCTCGCGGCGCGGCCAGCCCGTCGCCATCTTCGACGTGATGCAGCCCGCGTGCCATCCAACGCCGTCCAAGGTCGACACCGACGCCGACAGCATGCAGCCCAGTGGCACCGAGCACATCGTCACCGAGGTCCGCAAGAACCGCGAGCGGGACGAGAAGGAGGAGCACGACGACAACGAGGACGCCTGCGACCAGCAGCAACACCACTACAACAGCCTGCGGCCAGCCTTACAGTCAGGCGACGAATTTCAAATTTCCAGGTGAGAATTTTGACGAGGTGTGTCCGCCTATTGTGACATTATTGTTTTAGGCTGTGGTGGAGGCGTGGCTCGCTCGAGCTGCTCGCTCGTGCGACAGCCATTAATCCACCCGACCGGCCGACCGACCGAACGACCGGATGACGGCCGACGGCGACGACCGATGAACAACAACGCCAGCGACGACCGACCGACCGACCGAACGAATGACCGATCGACCCGGCGGCCGAGCGACCGAGCGACTGACGACGACATCGACGACCATGACCACGAACGACGACCGACCGACCGACCGACCGAGCGATCGACGACGACGACCGACTGACCGCCTGGCCGACCGAGCGATCGACGACGACGACGACGTCGACTGACGGCGACCGACAACGGACCGCGACGACGGCAACGACCACCGACTGACGTCGTTGTTAGTCGGCCGTCGCTGTGGTTCGCCGTTGTCGCTAGTCCTCGTTCGTCGGTCGTCGTCCTGAGTCGGTCCGACGGTCGTCGTCGTTTTTGTCGTTGTAAACATTTCACTACCAAGAGTAGTCATCTGACCGTACGACCGCGACCGCGACCCAAGCAAAGAGCTGCGTAACAGTTAGTAGGACTCCGCCGACACCGACGCCGACGCCTACGCTGGCACCGCCGCCGACGCCTACGTTTGCACTCACAGCACCTTCGACCAGGCCAAGGATGAGGATGAGAAAGAGGAGCTGAAGGAGGCCGGCGTCGAGGAGGCGTCGGAGGACCCTCACGACTGCCTGGGGTTGGTGGGGGATTCGGAGGAGGACTTGGGGGACATGGGCCTGGCTGAGGCGGTGGAGGCCCAGGAACCGGCCCAGGATGAGGCCAGGAACCAGCCCAGGACGAGGCCCAGGCCAGGGGTCGCCTTCTCGACGGACAGCGATCTCAGGAAAGCAGCTGCTGAGGCCGTGCGAGCCGCCACAACACGCAACCACCCCCACTACGACCAGTGGGTGGAACCAGCAGCACCGCCACGACCACGACCAGCAGTGCCAGCATCACCACGGAGACTGCGGAGAGACAGCAGCGGGCAGGACGACGAGGACGGCGCAGGGTACGATGGCGAGGACCTGGTTGCGACTGCGGCGGCGGAGGCTTGGGTGGCGGCGGCGGCCGGGCACGCGGCGTCGGCGGCGGCTTTGGCGGCGGTTGGGGGGGCGGCGGGGTGGACTCGGCATGGTTCGCCTCAGCATCCAAGTCAGCACCGACATCAGCAAGGACTCGAGCACCCACGTCAGCATCGACACCAGCACCGCCCCCACCAGCGACGCCAGCATCAGCCCCAGCTTCAGCGCCAGCATCGAAGACGGGATCGGCTCCAGCGCCAGAGCAAGCATCTACGTCACCACCAACGCCAGCATCGACCCCAGCATCGACGCCGGCACCCACGTCCGCATCGACCCCCGCATCGAAACCAGCCCTCACGACAGCATCGACGTCAGCATTGACACCAGCATTAACGCCAATATCGAAATCCACACTCACGCCAGCACCAACTACAGCGATAGCCTCAGCATCGGCGCCAGCATCCGCACCAGCATCGAGGACAGCATCGACCCCAGCATCAACACCAGAATCGACGCCGTGCCGACACGAGCACTACCCCCAACATCAACATCAGCATCGCTTCCAGGAGCGACATCAGCATCGGCGCCAGCATCGTCTACAGCATCGCAGACAGTACCGCCTTCAGCACCAGAGCCATTTTGCACGTCAGCGACGCCAGCACTGACCCCCGCATGGAAGCCAGCAGCGACGCCAGCATCGACACTATCACCGACCCCAGTATTGCAGCCAGCGTCGACTCCATCAGAGTCTGCATACACGTGCGCACCGATGCCAGCAGCGGATCCAGCATCGACGTCGCCTCCACCAACGGCGCCAGCACGAACGCTCACACCATTGGCAATCCACGCGCAGAACTGGGACCGTTGCATCGTATGCGACGCCACCTGCAGTCTCTTCGAACACATCCTCGTATGCAACATCTTCGCAAAACGTTCCCGGGGTCTTCTTGCCGCGGTATCGTGATTTTTTGCCTCCGACATGTCGGCCATGGCAACAATCGCACACTCCCACACCAAGCTCGGCACTCTCTTCGGCCGAAGAAACGTGACAGTCGCGCCGTCGACCTATGCCGGTGCAAGCGCCAGTGCCAACGCCTATGGGAACACCGGCACTTACATCGACGCCGACCGCGACAGAGCCAACCTTGGCGCCCTCACCGACACCCTGACCGATCCGCCACCCAACTTTTCACGGGGCGACTAGGGGTACCTCGACGCCGACCAGCAGCAGCACCACCACGAGCGCGACTAGCCGCACCGCCAGCAACATCAACGCCACAGCGACTACGAGCGGAAGGCGCAGGATGGGTTGGCATGCTCCAGCACCGCATCGACTACAGTACCGGCAGAAGCGCCGACTCCAGCACCAGCGCCAACCCTAGCACAGCTACCTGCAGCTCCGACTTCATCGGCGCCACTAACCGCCCCAGCACCGAGGCCAGCGCCGACGCCGGCCACGACGCCAGCATTGACGGCATTATCAACGTCATCATCCAAGCACACAAACACACACCGACGCCAGCACCGACTACAGCGCTGACCTCAGCACCGGTGCCAATATAGACGCTAGCATCGAAGACGGCATCGAACCCAGCACTGCTGCTTGCGTCGACGTCCACACCAGCGCCAGCATCGACGCTAGCACCGGCGCCAGTACAGACGTCAGCATCGACTCCAGAAACTATCGGGCACCCCCATAAGCAGCAAACCAGCGAACAGCTTCGCGACGCCAGCGCCGAGGCTGGCGACAAGTCCGACGCTCAGCTCACTCCCCCACCCGAAGTCCAGTTCGATGCTCAGCCCGACGCTATGTCCCACTTATCGCCCCATGCTCAGCAGCGCCACCGCGATTGCCACGATAGATTCTACCAGCGGCATCGAGAACAGTGCCACGGAATTCAGCAGCGCCACTCTGGGGCGGCAGTACTGACGCCAGCACTGACCCCAGCATCGAAGTCACCAATGGTGCCAGCATCGACGTCAGCAGCGTCGGCAATGGTCACCCTAGCCCCGAAGTGAAAATCAGCGTCAGCACCGACACCAGCACTGACTGCGGCATCGACGTCAACGCGAACGCCAACAGCGACGACGCCAACTTTGACGCCACTACTGACGATTGCATCGACGCATCCAGGCCATCATCGATACCGCCGCCGATTCCAACGCGGGATCCAGCGCTCGCGACAGTATCGACGCCAACGTTGACGCCACCGCCAACGCTACCATCCGAACCCATGCCGACGCCGGCACTGCATACATAGATGCCCTCAGTACTGGCGCCAGCATCCGCGCCAGCATTGAGAGCAGCTTCGATCCCAGCACCAGCGCAAGCGCGGATTTCAGCATCGACGCGGGCGCTTCCCTGGTCAAAACGCCGCGCCATTTGAAACGCCACCGACGTCAGCACAGAAACCCGCATCGACGACAGCAGCGCCCCCGGCATCGAAAGCAGCATTGACTCTGGCACAGGCGCCTGTATGGACGCACCCGCCGACGCCAACGTCGACCCCGGCATCGACGCCAGCGCCGACGCTCGCATCGATGCCAGCAACGACGATCGCATCGAGGATGCGACCGACTCCAGCCTCGAAATCCGCATCCGCGCCATCGTCGGCACTGAAGCCAGCGTCGATACCACCGCCGGCTCCGTCACGGCAGCCTGCGTCGACGCCCGCACCTAATTACGCCAGCATTGTCCTCGGCATCGACGCCCGCGCCTAAGCCAGCAGCGGCGCCAGCAACGACCCTGGCATCGACCCCAGCGCCGTCGCCGGCATCAGCCCCAGCATCAACGCCGCCACCCAACGCGGCACTGACCCTGGCACCAGCGCCAGCACCTGCGCCATCACCAACGCAGGCATCGACGCCAGCATCCGCGCCTGCATCGACGCCCGCATCGGCCCTCGCGACCTCGCCGAGGCCAGCCCTCCAATCCGCGCCTGTCGCCAGACGCCAAGACTGCGACGGGTGCGCTGCGCCGACCACCCGCGCGACGTCGTGGCCTACCCTCCCACCGACGCCATGTCCGACGCCCTTCCCGTCGCCCTCGCCGACGCCCCTCCCCGCGATCCGCCCGCCGCCCTACCGGAAAGCAGCACTTGCGCCAGCATCGACGCCAGCGCCAAAGACAGCGCCGATTCCGGCGTGCGAGCCTGCATCGTCGTCCGCGCCGACGTCAGCATCGACCCCGGCATCGGCCCCAGCGCCGACGCCAGATGACCACCCGGGAGGTGAAAATCATGGCCGCGTCCTCCCTTTCGCTCTCCCGGTCCTCCTGGGGGCCTCCTCTTCCTCCCCTCCGCTCTCTTTGCCAGGCCCCCCCCTGTCCTCCTCCCATGCCATGCTCCTCCCCCGTCTCCCCCTCCCCCTCCTCATCTTCCTCCTAGCTCCTCTTCCCTGTTCCGCTTCCATCCCCTCCTGTTTTCGCAAGCTCTGCACAGCCGCCCGAGTCCAGCCAACGGTCGAATACCGACAGCTCTTCCTCCTCTTCCTCCTCCTCTTCCTCCTCCTCTCCATGGCCTTTTTGGTTCAAGATGACGCTGTCCCTCGGGCAGAGAAGGGGCACCTCCTGATCCGAGGCTGGACCACCGCCGTCTTTCTCTCTCCTCACGGCCCCCGATGCGAGCCAAGTGGCGATCTCGGGCTCTGTCCAGCCGGCCACTCACTTTGCTGGGTGGGTGCAGGGTAGACTTTCCCGTTCTTTCCGAGCTTTAGTGGGCAGTCGTGGGGAAGCGCCGCCCCAGGTTGGAGAAGAGCCGCAGCACACCGCGCGAGTGGGCGAAGGAGCCCCCGTCTCAGCACTCTCTGGGAGGCCGCCGAGATGGTGAAGATGGTCGACGTCGATATTCGCCAAGCCGCTCGCTCCCGCCCAGCCTCTTCAGTCAAAATCGGTCAGCAGTTTGCAGTACTCCACCTGTGTGCTCTCCCGCCGGCTCTACTTCGTGGACTACATCGAGATAGACTACGGCCGCATCGCGAGCGTGATCACCCCAAGCATCACGGAGGCCATGCAGTCCTGCTTGAACGCGTTCACTAAAACCCTGATCGAGTAGTTCCACAGCCAGGTAGTGCTAGGATGGCTGCCGTCGAGACCTCCTTGGAATCCCTGCGCAGCAACCAGAACAACATGAGCGGTTCAAGAACGATGGTACTTCCAGTGGCAGTGGTCAAGCTCAACCTGATCTTTGGATTGCCGCTGAAGAAGAACAACCTGATCCTTGGTCATGCTTCAAGATCAACAAGAGGGCCCACTATTTACAACGTTCGCGCCTTCTCCCTGAAGTGATGGCTTACCTCCCACTCCTTCCTGATGTGTGGGCATCCGGGGGCCCAGTTAGTATGTTTACGCTAGGGGCCTGGCATGATCTTGAGGGCCCATCCCATATAAGGCTTATAAGCATAGTTCTCGGGATAGACATGCTACACACCGTGTATGCTACGCTTAGGCATAAATCTTACCTGACTCCATTTCTTGTCAAGGCTAGTTCACGTGCGATGGCGCGGCGCAGCTTTCTTGTGCGAGCATTTGTCCAAGGCCACTGGGACGGACCCGCCCCCTCCCCCCCCACCGAGTGCGACTCGTCGTCGTCCTCCTCCTCCTCCTCCTCCTCCTCTTTCTCCTCCTCCTCCTCCCCCTCCTCCTCTTTCTCGTCCTCCTCCTCCTCCTCCTCCTCCTCCTCCCCTTCCTCCTCCTACTTCCCCTTCTCCTCCATTCTGCCCTCCGCCGCCTCCTCCTCCTCCTCTTTTTCATCCCCTCCCCTTTCTCCTCCTCCTCCTCCTCCTCCTCTTCCTCCGCGTCCTCCTTCTCCTCCTCTTCATCCTTCCCTCCTCCCTCGTCGTCGTCCTCCTCCTCCTGCTTCTCCTCCTCCTCCTCCTCCCTCCCTCCCTCCCTCCCTCCCTCCTCCTCCTCCTCCTCCTCCTCCTCCTCCCCTCCTCCTCCTCCTCCTCCTCCTCCTCCTCTTCCTCCTCCTCCCCCCCTCCCCCCTCTCATCCTCCTCCTCCCCTCCCCTCCTCCTCCTCCTCCTCCTCCTCCTCCTCCTCCTCCTCCTCCTCCTCCTCCTCCTCCTCCTAGGTGGCTTCGCTCCGCGGCCCCGCAGGCATTTTGCCCACGCGGCGGGCGCCCGCCGAGCGATGGCCCCCAGCCCCGACGGGGCGACAGAGCGCGGGCCCCGAGCGGGCGCGCTCGCCGGCCTGGCCCAGGCGCCTCAGAAGGCGCAGGTGCGAGGCGAGGAGGCTGCTGAGGCTGGAGGACGCGCGCAGCCGACTGGAACAACACCGCGGCAGCGCAGCACCAGCCTTGGCAGGCAGGGCGGACAAGAACAAGTTCGTTGTCTGCAAGAAATGTGGTGGCTGGAAGTTGAACTCCCAGCTCCAGGCGTGCGGCTTCAAGTGCTGTTGTGGCGCGATGCTTCCATGCAGCGGGGTCGAGTCGACGCCGCAGCACGCGCCAGCCCCTCAGACGCCCTCCCTGGTGAAGGCGCTGGCCAAAGTGACGAGCCAGCTGTCCTCTATCGCCGTCAAGCCTGAGGTGGTGCAGCAGCTCTCGGGGGCCCTGGGTGAGATCTCGAAGGCGGCCGCGAGCCAGGCAGCGCCGCCGAGGCAGCGCCGCCGAAGTCCACGGCGGCGCGCTTGGCGGAGGCGGCGCGGGCGTTCGAGGACGCCACGAAGGCCTACGACAGGGCCTTTGGCGTGAAGGAGCTGGCGGCTGGTGCCCGCTGCAGGGCGCGGCCGAGCACCTTGTCCTGATAGGCGTCGCGCTCTCGCCGCCTGCGGGCTATCGCCAGTCAGACAATCGTGCTGAGATGTCTAGTTTGATTTCTGTGCTGCGTTGCACGTCAGGTGAAGTTGAGTCCTGGACTGCCAGTGATATCCTGTTTCGAGGTTGGAACATAGGCCAGCATTTGAGGCCTGGAGGTTGGAGTGTGAATGGAGATCTTTGGGGTCTCTCGTAGCGGAGATGAGAGAGCGCGGCGCCGCCAGCGTGACAGCGCTTTTTCTGAACAGCCACCTGTCCCCTGATGAGTCGCATTCCCCTGCTGACCTGGATTGGCAATCAGATTGCCGATGGTCGTGCTGCCGCTGCCGCCTACGCCCATGCCGTGCCGCCCTCCCGTCCTTCCTGCCACACGCGGGCGGTGGCGACGCTGTGCCCTGTGCGGCTCCGCACTGCGAGAGAGCCACCCCGGTGCGCGCCCTCGAGCAGGAGGACCGCCGGCCGACGTGTGCGCGGGGTCCAGAGACTGGCCCACCGCCCTCGCGCGCGCTCAGGCGGGCTCCGCGCATTCTATTGCTGATTCTAACGCTCGTTTTCGTTGTCTTGACTGTCGCAGTGGCGTGTCCGAGGCCTCGTGCCATCGTGTGTTGGTGAATCGGCTTTGTTCTCAGTGTCCTGGCCCGCCCCTCCCTCAGCCCACTGGAGTGCTCGCGGCCATCGGAACGCGTGTTGCCCACCACTCGCAAACTATTGGGTGTGCACCTATTGTGGCTGCAGGGCGAGAGAGGGTTGTGGCCACCTCGGGGACCTGGCGAAAGGGTGCAAGTGCGTGAGAGGCGAGCCACCCTACCAAGATGGTGGCTTGGGTCCTCCAGCGTTTCTCTGAAGAGAAGTCTCTTAAGTGAGCCCCCGGAGTAGCGTGGTCTGACAGAGCCAGCTTGGGGTGATCCTTGGGTAATCCCCCCCCTCGTCCTCCTCTTCCTCCTCCTCCTCCTCCTCCTGCTCTTTTGTTCCTCCCCCCTTAACCCCCTCCCCTCCCCTCGCCCCCCCCCCTCCCCCCCCCCCCCCCCCTCGGAATCGGATGGCCCCCCCCTTCCCCGCCCTGCCCTTATTCGCAGGCCTTCGTGCAGTCCCGCGGGCGGCAGGACGTCCGCTTTTGGCCGGCTGGGCGCCCCTCCCCGCCCCTCCGGGTGCGTCCAATCGGGTCGGGCGACAATTTATTAGGCCTCCCTATTTGTCCTGTTTCTTGCTGTTCGTCGTCGTCGTCATCGTCATCGTCGTCGCCGTCGTCGCCGTCGTCGTCGTCGTCGTCGTCGTCGTCGTCGTCGTCCCTCATCCTCCGCGAGCTTTCGCGCTCATGAGTCGCGCAGGGATCCAAAGTGCCTCCTGGGCTCCAGCCCAGCTGCCGTGCTCTCGTGGGGCCGTCCTTCTGGACGCAGGTTGGCGCCTCGCTTCGCTTCACCTCGCTTCGTTCGGCCTCCCGGATGGGGTCTGAGAAGGGTGGTCCGAGTTTCTTAATGAGCGTCGGGGGGGCGTCACTCCCGCCGACAGCCCTGCATCGACCCCCGTCGCGGGCAGCCGCCGCGCGCCGAAGGCGCTCCGACCCCCGTCGCGGCGCGGCAACGAGGAGAGGTCGACCCCCGTCTGGGGGGGTAGCCCCTGTTTGTGAAGACCGTTCCTTCTCCTCCTTCTACCCATCCATCTTGCTATCCTTTCGGCTCAGGTGTTGGACATCGAGCCCGATGATTATCGGGCCGTGAGACGGAAAAGGACGCTGTCACTCTCTCATCTTATCCTCTACAAGCGGGTTCGACGGTAGGTTCGACCCTTCGGTTCGTAGCCTTTGTTTGCAGATTATCAGCCCTTTCTAATTCGCTCTCCGTCGCGGACCTTCGCGCCGACGGCGAGCCCCCGCGCATGCCACTGGACCCGCGGTCCGCGCCGACGTGGAGACGACAGCGGGACGAGGAATGATACTGCAATCCCCCTTGCCAGGAGAAGGGAACGCTAACGCCCGCCTTGAAGCAGAGGTTCGGCGTGCGCTACAGGCGCGCTGTCGACAATCAAATGTGGACACATCCCAATCTTGCCTGTTGGGTGCAAGCCCTACACAGGCGCAGTCATACGCCCCAGAATTCGGACCGAGTCCGCATGCGACCCCTGACACGCGTGGGGTTATTACGAGCCCGATCCTCCTGCCGGTGGAAACACCGACGCCTTCCTCCTCCGCCCCCCCAGTCGGTGGAAACACCGACGGCGGCGCGCATGATACGTCTCCTCCGAGCGCTTCCGCGCGCCGCCGCCGTTGGGACAACCGTGGGCCCTCGAGCCCCGCTTCAGTCCCCGTGTCTGAACACGCTCGTGCCATCGAAGGTCGTCACGGAACGACCGTTTAGAGAAACAACCCGACCGGTATCATGTCCAGTCTCAGCGCGAGGATACCAGCCGCAACCCCCCACAAAGGCGCCCACGGCCGAATTCCCAGAGGCGCGGTCCTGCGCCATTCGCGTCGCCCTCCGCCAACGAATTGGCAGAGCTCAGAGACCAGGTTGGGACATGCACGACCCAACAGTTGTCGGGTCTTACTGCGACGGTCGCGGATACCGCGACCAACGATTCTGGGAGCTGACAGGGTTTCAGCAACAAGCCCTTGGCGAAACAACAATGGTGTCGTGGATGAACCAGACTATGCGTGCCATGCGCCCGCAGCAAGGCGCCCCTTCCGTCTCTTTGCCGGTGCCAACACTTACGCCGAACAGTCCTAGCCCACCTGCTGCTCCTGCGCTTCGTGCTCGCTTCCCCACAAGACAGCCAACGAAGGAGATGGATTATGCTCTGGCGTACATTCAGGTCGAGCTTTCAGCCTACGGCAGTGATTGGGGCGGCAAAGCACTGGCATCGGCTAGTGGGCGGGACTGCTACACCTCATGCGCGGGGTTGCTTACCAGACTGAGCAAACTCAAGGGCAACTTCCCAAATATTTGGAACTCGCATGACACGCCAGAGCGCAGGTACTTGAAGACAACGTTCAAGAGTCCGTATCCTGTTTGCCAAGCTACAACCTGGTTCGTCCTCGACCAGTTCGTCGAGAAGATCGTGTCCAAATCCGAAGTGCGTGCCACCAAAAAAGAGAATGGTGAACTCATCCAAGCACATTCGTGCAACGGCATGTTCATCCGCAGCCTGCAGCAATGGCTCTCGGAGAACGTGTTACATAGGTTACATCGTTTACATTCTCTTTTCTAATAGAAGAATAGACTGTACCCCTCCTGGAGTTAACGATCCACCTTTTCGTACCGCAACTTGCATATGATTCTGCTCCATCGTCCATCTTGAATGAAATCGTACTATCCCAGCCAGGCTGGTATCACTCCCCCCCACCATCCTCTGCAAAACATACAATGCTCGCGTTCTCGTTTATAAGGTATCACAAGTTTCCAAGCATCCTTTTGCAAATAATGAGACGAAGTGCAGACGCGCGCGTCGTCGCGCGCGCAGGCCGAAATCCTTCAAGAACCTTCGGTTTCGGAAGGAATTCAACATCGAGTTGCCAAACAGCATACAAACACACATGGTTTCGCAACGCGGATTTTCAAGAAAAGCTTACGCGCGCGCTGTTGCTAAATCGTGAGAAAACCATAGGTTTTTCAATATTCCAAAAAGTACCACCAAACGGACTTCGCGTGCGCATGTCGAAATCTTTAGAACGCCCTGGCGCGCGTGCCGTCGCGAGAATCTTCTGCAAAAGAAAGGACGAAATGCAAACGCGCGCGTCGATGCCGAAATCCTTCAAAAACCTTCGGTGCCAGAAGGAGTTCGAGATCGTGTGTCCAAAAGACATACAAACACACAAGGTTTCGCAACACGGATTTTCAACAAAAGCGTGCGCGCGTGCTCTTGCGTCGTCGTCGTCGTCGTCGTCGCCGTCCTCCCTCCTCCCTCGTCGTCGACGTCGTCGCCGTCGTCTCTGTCTTTCCTCGTCGTCGTCGTCGTCGTCGTCGTCGTCGTCTTGGCGTCGTCGTCGTTTCCGTCGTCGTTGTCGCCGTGGTCGTCTTCTCCCTCGCCGTCTTCGTCGGCGTTTCGTCGTTGTCCCTCCTATTTCGTCGCCGTCGTCGTCGTCGTCGTCGTCGTCGTCGTCCTCCCTCCTCCCTCGTCGTTGTCGTCGTCGCCGTCGTCGTCCTCCCTCCTCCCTCGTCGTCGTCGTCGTCTTCGTTTGCGACGTCGTCGTCTTCGTCGTCGCCGTCGTTGTCGTCGTCGGCGTCGTCGGCGGCGGCGTCGTCGTCGCCGTCGGCGTTGTCATCGTCGTCGTCGTCGTCAGCGTCGGCGTCGTCGGTGTTGTCGTCGTCGTCGGTGTCGTCGTCGTCGTCGTCGTCGTCGTCGTCGTCGTTGTCGTCGTCGTCGTCGAAGTCGTCAGAGACGTCGTCTGCGTTGTCGTAGTCGTTGTCGGCGGCGTCGTTGTCGTCGTTGTCGCTGTCGTCGTCGGCGTCGGTGTCGTTGTCAAGTGCCATTTGGTACCCACCGTCACGGTCTTAAGAGGTCTTGCGACCAAGTTGCGGGTGGGAGGGTGGGATGTTTGCACGATCGGTGGAGAGGACAGCTTCATGTTGAGCAAGTGATTGACTGCACCACATAGAATGCCCCGCGTAGATTGCATTACGTAGGTTGCATCGCTTATATTGCATCACGTAGATTCCACCGCACATATTGCATTACATAGGTTGCATCGCATATGTTGCGCCAGATAGGTTGCATCGCATAGATTGCAAGAACCTACTGTTTGGGAGGCCACGCTGGCTAACATTGGTTTCTCGTTCGAGATTTCTTCGATGTCCCTGGCCAAACATGTGAATGTGTTTGAAATCTCGCTGGACACTCCGTTGAGCTGTATGATCCTGCAGAGTTACATGATCACGCAGTATGATCACAGTTCAGCGAGGTGCCCTGGAATGCGAGAAAGTATGATTCTTACCTCTTCGATTCCTGATTACGCGCTAGGAGGACTCGAGACAGTCGCTTTTCAAAATGGGGCTCCCGCCATAATGGCAGGTCTACAGGTTGTTGCTGCATCGGGGAGGCATTTCTTGTAGTGGCAAGGACAACTTTTATATTTTTATGAAGCGGGGGCTTGGGACGGGAGGGTGTGCTGCATCATCACCGGCGCATCTTGGGCTTAATCGGGTCCTACTCCTTGTCCTCTTTCTCCCCCTCCGCTCAACCGTAGCCGTTTTGGCTCAATCTTTGCCTTTGCCAGCATACCGCTCAAGGTAGCAACCCCAGCGGCATGACCATCGCGTACACTGCTACCGATGGCGATGCCAGCGCCAGCGCGGACGAGGGCATTCCGCGGATGACCCCCAAAGTGCTCGAGGAATGCTGCCTCAAGAACCGCGGGTTCTCCCTGCCTGAGCTGAACGATGTGTTGATTCTCAGCTACAGGGGCTTCCGTAGGATTGAGGGCCTGAACCCATACACGAACATCAAGTCTTTGTTCCTCGACAGCAACGGCATCCGCAAGATCGAGAATCTGCAGGGACTGCCAGGCCTGACCTCGCTGTACCTGCAGCAGAACTGCATCGAGCGCATCGAGAATTTGGACTGCCTCACCTCGCTCAAGCTGCTCAACCTCTCGCAGAACAGCATCACGTCCGTCGAGAACCTCGCCGCCCTGAGGGAGCTCGAGACGATCAAGCTCTCGGGCAACAAGATCGTGGACGTGGAGGCGCTCCACGGCCTGCGAGAGCGGCCCACGCTGAGGTGCGTGGACGTGAGCCAGAACTACATCGAGGACGGCGACGGCCTGCTGGACTTCTTCTCCTCGGCCCTGCCAGAGGTCGAGAGCGTGGCGATACACCACAACGTGTGTTCGCGCGCCCTGAAGGACGGCCGCAGGCGGCTCGTCTCGAGCCTCGCGAGCCTCCGGTGGCTGGACGAGCGGCCCGTCACCGCCGTGGAGCGCGCTGGCTGCGAGGCGTGGGCCACAGGAGGCAAGGACGCGGAGCTGGCGGCCAAGACGGCGCACTGGCAGCGGGAGAAGGAGTGAATAGGCAAATTTTCCACCACCACCAGCATATGTAGCACGGGGGAGACCGGAGGATGAGGAGGTCCTTCTCCTCCTCCTCCTCCTCCTCCTCCTCCTCCTCCTCTTTCTCCCTCCTCCCCCTCCCCCTCCTCCTCCTCCTCCTCCTCCTCCTCCTCCTCCTCCTCCTCCTCCTCTTTCTCCCTCCTCCCCCTCTTCCCCTCCTCCTCCTCCTCCTCCTCCTCCTCCTCCTCCTCCTCCTCCTCCTCCTCCTCCTCCTCCTCCTCCTCCTCCTCCTCCTCCCTCCTCCTCCTCCTCCTCCTCCTCCTCCTCCTCCTCCTCCTCCTCCTCCCTCTCCCCCCCCGTGTGGCAGTGCCGGTGGCAAATGGGGGCCCCTCGCAGGAGGACAAGGAGCGGAGCTTCCAGAACTTCCGCCGGGTGCAGCAGGCGGCCGCCGAGCGGGCCAGGGCGCAGCGCGAAGCGCAGGCCGCGCGCGACGCGGCCCGGGAGCGGGCCGCGGCTGGCCTCCAGGATCGAGGAGGAGGAGGAGGAGGAGGAGGAGGAGGAGGAGGAGGAGGAGGAGGAGGAGGAGGACGAGGAGGAGCAGCAGGAGGAGGAGGAGGAGGAGGAGGAGGAGGAGGAGGAGGAGGAGGAGGAGGAGGGAGGAGGAGTGGCCTTTGGTGCGGGCGCAGGTGGGTCCCCAGAGGGCTGAAAACGAAGCAGTCGCAGCTGCTTGCTCGCCTGGGTTTGGTCCCCCCGCGGCCCCCCAAGAGTCGCGCACCGAAGGTCACTCTTAATTACCCAGGGCCACTCCTTAGCGTATAGCCGACAGGAGACCGGCGCGCTGACGGAGGGCTTCGTGGCCATCCCGGCGGTGCCCGCGGCGGCGAAGCACTGTCAGGCGGAGGGCTCTTCCCGCCAGCACGAGATCCGCGCCAGGTCGGCCGCGCGCAGAGGGGGGCATGGGCGGAGGGGGGAGGGCTTCTGAGGAGCACCCTGCTGCTTAGAATCGAAGGAGAAAGGGCGCCACAAGCAGGAACTTCTGGCGCTCCGCGCGGATTTCTTGGATCTGCGCTGGGGCTGGCGGCGCCTCCGGCGCCGCCCCTGGCGCGCGGAGCGCGCCAGGATGGGGGTCCAGCTCAGATCCAAGAAATCCGCGCGGACTGTCGAAAGTTTATGTTTATGCCGCGTGTTTTATTCTTCTCAGAGGGCGCGGACTTGCATCTTCAGAGGTAAGGCCGGCGCCTTCCCAGAAGCAGCCTCCTCCTAAGACGCCTCCCCCCCTCCTCCTGCCCCCTTGTGCGCGCCGCCTGCCAGGGTGCAGGCGCTTCTGACGGGGGACGATCCGCCGACGGGGGACCTTGCTCCACCGGAGGGCGATTCGGACAGCCCAGCGCAGAGGTCCACGACGCCAGCCGAGCAGCAGGATGTGGCGCCGGGCGCGGGCACAGATGCCGCTGCCGCCAGCGGGGCGGCCGAGGATGCGGGACACAGCGCCAGCGGCCCCCCCGCCGCCGCGGACGACGTGGACCCCGGGCCCTTCGAGTGGACGCCCTTCCGGGACAAGCGGCTGGGCCAGCTGGTGGCCGAGAACAGGTACAACTTCGACAAGGCCGCGGCGCTGCTGGGTGCCGAATTCGGCCACCCGGTGGCCGCCCCGGCATGCCGGGAGCGCTACGGTGAGCTGCTGCGGCCGCGGCCGGCGGCCGCGGGCCAGGAGGCGGCCCGCAGGGCGCCGGACAGGGAGCAGGCCGCGGGCCGCGCGAAGGACGCTCCGGAGCCCCGCCCCGAGGCCCTCAAGGAGGTGTCCGACTGGTGGCTGCGCCGGCTCTCCGCCGGCGCCGCCCGCGAGGCGCGGCGCGCCCCGCCGCCGGCCCGGCCCGCCGGCCCGCCCCCGGCCGAGGACGCCGAGGCCGAGGCCGGGGCCGACGCGTCGGCGGCGCTCGCCGCGGGCAGCCCCGCGGGCCGAGGCAGCGCGGGGGCCTGGCAGGGCCTGCTGTCGGCCGAGGCCGAGGGCCCGTCGGCGGCGCCCGCGGCGCCCGCCGCGGGCGGCCTGGCGGGCCGAGGCAGCGCGGGGGCCTGGCAGAGCCTGCTGTCGGCCCCGGCGCCCGCGGAGGGCGCGGCGCGGGAGGGCGGCGCGGCCGCGGGCTTCCTGCCGCCGCCGCGCGGCGGCCAGGAGGTGCCCGCGAGCGAGTGGCACGCCGCGCCGGCGAAGGCCGGGGGATCTGAGCTGTTTGCGCTGGACTGACTCTGGGCTGCCTGGGGGCTTCTGCCTGCGAAGCCTGCCCGCCAAAAAGCCTGCCCCCTCGCCCTCTCTCAGAGGACGAGAAGGGTACCGATACCGCCGCTCGCCCTGGAGTTCCCCCGTCACCACGGCTGGCTTCGCCCCGAAGTCCTGGCCAGAACGGGCCCTGGGAGAGGCTCGTGGAGCAGCGCTATAGCCATGCTTTTGCTCCCCCCTCTCGGTGCCCAGCCCGTGTCGCCCGCCTCGCTGCTGCTGCTGCTGCCGCTGCTGCTGCTGCTGCTGCTGCTGCTGCTGCTGCTGCTCTCCGCTCCCGCTCTGGTTCTCCCGCGGCCTGCTTCCCGCCTCCCTCCCGTCACCAGGATGGAGAACAGCACACAGACACAAACAAATCGCCGATCCCGCCCCAAACGTAATCAGGAAGATCTGGGAAAAGGGGGGGGGCACCAAACATTGGGAATCCTGGGCCTCTTAGTTGATCGATGTAGAGGGTTCGTGGCGCTCTCGCTTCGACGCTGGTGACATTATCTTTGGAACCAAGGCTCCCGCCCGAGTTGGGGCTCGATTCCGGATGTGAGTCCTTGAAGGCCCAGCCACGACGACAACGGCTCCCGATCGATATTTCCTCGAAATGTGTCCCCTGACCCCCTGGCCAGAGAAGCCCCCGAACTCAGGAACGGCGCTCTAGCTCAACATTTCTTCGCAAGTCGCTCAAATGGATGAAGGCGCGAAAGGAGACTGAACAGGGGCTGCGTGTCCTCTAGAAAATGAGCGAGTTAGGCTGCTTGATGCCTGACGCAGCAAACGCGGCCTATGATTGGCGTGCGCACGGGATGCGGAACCGAGGAAAGAAATTACACCCCTCAGAAGATGAACTGCGCCAGGAACTTGAAGTACAAGAGTGCAGAACTGCCCAACATATATATATATATATATATAGCCACCCAGCTGGAGTGCCTGAGCACATATGAATCGGCAGCGTCGGGACTGCCGCACGAACGGAGGAGGGGCAGGCTATTATTCTTCCGTTCTGTACACGGCTGAGGCCGGCCAGATTTGGATCCAGCATCGCCCTCAACACGGCCAAAGGAAGGCTTCCCTGACGAGACGAAGCCCCCCTCTGGTGTGCACTGGATCGTGGATGATCTTTGGTACTTGCCGATGGCCCTGACGGTTCTCTCCCCAGTGTGTGGAAGGAACTGGCGCCAGTTGCACTCCCAGCAGCAGACTCTGGAAACTGATGCCGAGAATTCAAGCTACATTCAGACTGCTAGGGTGGACCAGCGCTTGGACGTAGAGCAGTAGAGCAAGTGCCAGAGCAGGCTCTGCAGCAAAACCTCCCCCGAAGTCTGCCCATGGGCCGGCTGCGCCTACTGGCACTACTGGAGGTGGTGTGGCTTCAGCGAGAGGCTGATGGCCATCAGGGAAATGAGGAAACACTAGACCATCATCTGCCGCCTGTTTGGCAGCCCGGCGCTTTTCCTTCTTACGTAGACGTTGGGCTCGACGCACAGCTCGAAGTTTCTTTAACAATTGTACAGAATCATCGGGGTCTCCAGCTTTCCCCTGTGCAGCCTGAGCTCGTTCCTTGTGCAGAGTCGCTGGCGCAGAGGGTCGTGCAGCCGCAGACATCGCAGTGCCCGCAGCCGCAGCAACCACAGCAGCAACAGTGCGCCTCGGCGCGTGCTCCCGGATCGCCGCCTGCACAGCCGCCGCTACAAGGGAGGGGCCATCAGCAGCTATGGCGCTCATCTATGTCTAGCAAGGGGAGGCCCGGGGGGCAGCTAAACAAATGCAATCGGTTGGGCCATAATGAATTGATAATAAAGGCGCCGCTGCGACGGCAACGGCCCCCCTTCGATGTTTCCTCGCAATATATTGCGAGATGCCCTGGCCGAAGAAGCCCTCAATCAGGAGCTGCCGTATCGCTCGAGACGTCCTCGCAATTCGCTCAAGCTGGTGAGGGCTCAGTTGCGACGACAAAGGCGCCCGTTCGATATTCCCTCGCAACGTACTCCGAGGCGGCCTTGCCAGATGGGCCCCGAACGACACTCTCTCTCCCTCGATAGTTCTTCGCAGCGCAGTGAAGGTAGTGAAGGCCCACCTAGGACGACAACGGCTTCCGCTCGATACGTCCTAACAAATTACTCCGAGGTGCCTTGAGATATGTTCCTTCAATTCATTTAACGTGGTGGTGGCCTTGCTGCGACGACAACGGCTCGCGCCTTATCCTTCCTATCAGTTTTCTTCCGAGACGCCCTGGCCAGAGAGGCTCCCTTCGGTCGAGCTGGTGAGTTGCCTGCGGGCGCGTTAGTTGGTTTGCAGGACTACCATGGCGGTGTGGTGCGCATACAAAGTGCAATGCTGACCGTTTCTCCCAGGAACTGGTATGAAAAGAAAACATTCGTTTATCCACTTAGCGGACGGGTGTAAGGGAGAGGGATCAACAACTGAGGGCCGAAGCAGCTTACGGGATCACGCGTTCTCCACATGGTCGTCGTCTTTGTCATGCTTGTCCACCAACCATCCATGACACTCGCTTGTGTCGCAGCCCCGTCGTCTTTCCACTTTTCCTGGCGACAGTGATTTTTGGCCCGTCTGTCCAGACGCGTGCGAGTTTATATCAGAAGTCCGGGCGTCCGCTGGTGGCGTTTGCTCAAACTGACCGTTGGTTAGGAAAGAGGGTTATCGTCCTCGCCGCCTTCTCCTCTTCCTGCCCGTGCCCGAACCTCTGGCGCACTCCTATGCAGTAGAAGATGCCAATGCCAGCTGCTGTGATTATTGGGGTGGGGATCCGAGGTCGCCACTCGCGGAGCCAGACCTGGCCCTACAGGCTGGGACGGCCACGGGACGGGAGCAGAGTCGCGATTATCGCTATTTGCCACGAGGGTCGCAGCGCCGTGCCCCCGCTGAACGGGACAGTGGGGAAGGCCCGCCCCACGCGGCCGTCCTTGCCTCCAGAGGTCCGAGGGGTTCCTTCCGGAGGCCTCCGGAGGTCCGCAGAAGCTTCCAGACCTCCCGAGGCCCTCGGGGGCTCAGCGCTGTCCCGGAACGACAAAGAGACACCAAGAGCCTCGGTCTTCGGATCCTCGATCCCAGGCGCAGCAGTCCCGAAGTGCCGTCCGGCACGGCGGTGGTTGTGGCGACCGCGTGGCTGCGACGTCAGGCGTGCCCGCCACCGCCGCTGCCCCCGTCATCATCATCGTTGGCGGCGTCCGTCGTCGTCGTCGTCCGCGTCGTCGTCGTCGTCGTCGTCGTCGTCGTCGTCGTCGTCGTCGTCGTCGTCGTCGTCGTCGTCCGCGTCGTCGTCGTCGTCGGTTGGTCGTCGTCGTCGTCGTCGTGGTCGTCGTCGTCGTCCGTCGACGTCGTCGTCGTCGTCGTCGTCGTCGCCTGTCGTCGTCGTCGTCGTCGTCGTCGTCGTCCGCGTCGTCGTCGTCGCCGTCGTCGTCCGTCGTCCGTCGCCGTCGTCGTCCGTCGTCGTCGTCGTCGTCGTCGTCGTCGTCGTCGTTGTCGTCGTCGTTGTCGTCATGTTCGTCGTCGTCGTCGTCGTCGTCGTCGTCGTCGTCATCGTCCGTCGTCGCCGTCGTCGTCGTCCTCTCCGTCGCCGTCGCCGCCGCCGTCGCCGTCGCCGTCGCCGTCGCCGTCGCCGTCGCCGTCGCCGTCGCCGCCGTCGCCGTCGCTGTCGTCGCCGTCGTCGTCGTCGTCGTCGTCGTCGTCGTCGTCGTCGTCGTCGTCGTTGTCGTCGTCGTCCGTTGTCGTCCGTCGTCGTTCGTGGCTGGTCACGCCCCCCCGCCGCGCCCGGGGAGGATGCGGCGGAGGGCGGCAGGGCCGCCTCGGGCGCCACCTCCGCGGAGGCGCGCCGCGCAGTGGAGGCACCCGGCGGCTCGACCCTCGGCCCTCGATGCTCGACCCCCTCGATGCCCTCGAGCCTCGGCCCTCGAGGCTCGACCCGCGATGCCCTCGATCCTCGATCCCCTCGACCTTCGATCCCCTCCATCCTCGATCCCTCGGGTCCTCGACCCTCACAACGCAAAGAGAGACAACAGAGAGATCGCCCCGACGAGTCGCCCTCGGCGTGCGCGGCCACTGGCGCCACGAGCGCGACGGCGCTCCGCGCCGCCCGTCCAGGTGGTTCGGATGGGGCTGGGTGTGTACATCTAGGCCTGCTTCCTGGATCGTGCCCTGGGCAACCATCATCATCATCATCATCATCATCATCATCATCATCATCATCATCATCATCATCATCATCATCATCAGCAACACCAGGATTACCCAAGACCTGTGATGAAGGACCAAACGGCAAACGCTGGATTCATCTTTTACCGCAGATTGGTAAGTCTTGGTTCGCTTCACATATGAAACGGATTCGCATTGACCCCTCGGTGCATGGTTACCAAAAAGGACGCTGCAAAGAGACGCCTCTTTTAGTCAGCAATGTGGTTGCCTGGCGAGTGCGAGATACGGGGAGGAGTCTTGACAAGCATTTTTTGGACATGACGAATGTTTTGTTTTTTTTGCACCAGACCCGACTTGTGGAAGCAGCTGATATACTGAACGATGGATCAGTTCAACGAGTGGTTCGGCAGAAGAGTGGAACAATATTACATTTCTGTTCCCAACAGTGGTACTGACCATCTCAGGCAGCAAGTCGGAGGCATCATGGGCGACACGTTCATGGTGGCAGCGTGGACTTGTGCATTCCAGCCTGCTTTAGCTGTCTTACGACGTCGCGAAGCTGAGGAATGACTGGGATCTGTGGTTATGCTAGCTGTTGTCTTTTGCCTGGTCGGGTGAATCTATCTCTCTGTCAGTATGCGGATGACTTTCTTTCATCGGCTGCATCTGGGACGTGCAGGTGATCGGGCTGGGTCCCTGGCGCATGCAATGCGGATCTCTTCCTCCTTACTTTCTGAAGCCTTTTTCGCTGACGGTAGCATGCGAGTTACCAAGAAGCAGATGGTCATTCTGAGCTTGATGGGGCAGGGGCTTATCAGGATTTTCGCACAATCCAGCGTCGCGCGGTTGATTTTCCAGGAGAAGTGGTTACAGCAGGCCAATATCTAGGGGCATAGGCTGTTGCTGAGGGGCGTCCTTGTGTGGCTTGTTCGAGAGAGATGGGGGCTAGGCGGGCGGCTGTCTATCGAGCGTACTACACCCAGGGCGGCTTCTGGTAACTCAAGGGGGTCCCAATCAAGTTCAAGAGATCGATGCTCCTCGGGGTCGTCCTGGGCACGGTGGTTCAGAAATTCTAGACGCTTCGCGTATCCCCACCAGCCCGTCCAGAAACGACGCCCAGGCGAGTAGAGGGTCGTCCTGAGGGGCTTTTCGGCGTCTTGGGTGCCTCGGGGGGGCCTCTTTGGGCCGTTTGGGATCCTCTTGGGGGCCTCTTGGGGCCATCTTGGGGCCATCTTGGGGCCTCTTGGTGCCTCCTGGGCGCTTCTTGGGGCCATCTTGGAGGAAATCGATCAAAGAAGAGGGGAGCTTCAATTAGTGCTGCCCCCTCTGGGGGCCAAAATGGGGCCAACACCTTAGTAAAAGCAATGATTTTGGCTTCCTCGGCGAGGCCGTTTTGGACGCTCTGACCGCTCCCCGCCCCCCTTGTCCAGGTCAGTGGGGAGGGGGTAGGGGGAGGGGTAAACCCCTCCCCGAAGGGGAAGAAGGAGGGGTGGAAGAGGAAACGCTCTAAACCACCGACGCCCAGAGGGCTGGTGGGACTAGAGGCATTCCTTCTGACGGAGGCGCACGTACACAACTCAATTCGGTTTTGGATTTTCTGTATCGAAAAGCGCTCTTGGGGCGGCCTCATAGAGTAGAGGGTGAACAGCATTCTTCGTGGACATCGGATCGTGTTCGGGCCTTTTGGAGGGTGTCGTCCATCGGGGTTGAGCTTCGCGTTCTTCGGCATCGAGGTTGAGCTTCGCGTTCTTCGGCTAAAACGTCTTCAGCAGATTGCCTCGTGCCCAGAGAATCATCTACAGTGGTTGGGAGCGGTTGTTCGAGGTTGCCTTTTGAGAGGGAGGGGGCCATGGTTTGTTCGGGATGTTTGAGTTCGTCGGCGAATCCGTGGGCACGGAGGGTTTTAGATGCTATCCAGAATTTGCACGTCCTGGAGGACGCCGAGTGGCTTCAGTAGGAGCTGAGGGAGGGCGGCTGGTGCATAGGTAAGCTCTTCGAGGATTCTGAAGTCCGTTCAGATATCGTCAAGCGGTATGCGTCGTTGCCTCGATGTCTGGACATTCAGCGCGCCAAGGATCATCCGCAGGCGACTCAGAGGTCCGTGGCGGTGGAAGATGGCCCCTGGATGTGTTATTGTATGACGGCTGTGGGTGTGGAGTGTCTGTCGAGTTTTGCTACATATAAACCGCTATATACGCACATACGGCGACATCACAACCAGGTAGATCTATGGTCGAGTTTCGTGGTCGCGCAACAATGCCCTGTATGTCGTGCTGTGTTTTCGTCTTGTCTTGCTGCCCTTCACCATCTCCATGCCCGAGTTTCTCTGCCAAATCACCGCTCTGCTCCCAGATGTGTGGGTGAAGTGGTGGTCCCGACGGTCCTGGGGTGCGCGGTCTGTAGTCATCGGGCTCAAACTCTCTCTGACTTGCACGATCGTTTACTCACGCATGTGCCCCCCCAAGTCCAGTGGCAGCATGGCTCTTCCGGTGCCCAGGTGGGGCGTCGAACGCGCCGCGGAGGAAGACGTCGGCTCGGGCGGCGTCAAGCGCCAGCTCATCGCGGCAGGCGCGAAAGCCACGACCCGGAAGGAGAAGGTTGATAAGATGGCGGTGCTCTTGGGGGTGCTGGCGCTCACTCAGGTCGCGGAGGTGCGCGATCTCATCGGGGCGTCGCACTGCGCCGCGATTCTGGATGCGGACCACGCGATCGCCATGGCGATGGCGCAGGCGGGCAAGGGCTGCCACGCGGCGGCGGAGGACTTGAAGGGGGATCCCAAGGGCGAGGCTGACCTGCTGGGCCCTCCCTTCCTTCGCGTCTTCAAGGAGCTGGTGCGAGCGGCTCGCGGTCTGGCGACTGTCGGGGAGGACCGCGAGAGCGTGCTTGGCATGTTCTGGGAGGAGGTCATTCTCCAGAAGCCGTTGATGGAGGTGGTGGAGCAGGCGAGGCACTGCCGCTGCAGGCTGACGCGCAGGAAGAAGGACGTGAGCAACAAGGTGCGCATCGCCCTTTGCTCCTGCAGCCAGTGGATGGAGCTCGAGCGCGCGGCGCTGTCGGCTCTGCGGGTGTCCAGCGCAGAGTGCAAATAAGCCCCGCCTCCGAAGAGCCTGCTGGGGCGCGAGGTGAGCGTGCTTCTGGGCGATCTGAACAAGATCTGAGTCTCGCGGAGCTGGGAACATTGGCCCGTCGTCTCTCGTTGTTCTGTGAACGCATGGCTATCGCGTTGAGCTCAGGGCAGCTAGATCCAGGCTTGGCCGTTGCTCTTCTGATGCGGAAGCAGGGGCGAGATGTTCGTCCCGCTTCTTCGAATGGCAAAGCTTAAAAAAAGTCTGGCTGGCGTGCAGCCTGGCCAGCTTCGGCGGGCCGCCCGCGTCGGCGGCGTCAGCGAGCTCGTGCCCGACGGCGCACGGGCCTGCGAGAGCAGTTCGGCGGATTCTTGTTCTCCCCGACGCAGCTGCAAGGGGTCCAGGTCTGCTGCTGGTGCCGATGCTGCAAAGCCGAGTAATAATATCAAATAAACGTCATCACCATCATCATAAGAATCATCGCCCTTATCATTGTCAACATCATCATCAGCATCATTATCATTAGGGCGGGTGCATCCAGGCCTGCTTCCTGGATCGCGCCCTGGGCAACCGCGCGGGCCCCCCCGCGATTGCGTCTCGGCGGACCTCTGCTCGGTTCGCCTCCTTTCATTACCTGGATGTGTTCGCCGCTGGGGCGCGCAGGCAGCTGCCGGGACTTGTCTCCGCTCCGGCGTCGCCCGAAGTGGTTCGCGCTCTGAGAGCCTTCCAGCCGTCCGCAGCCCTCTCGCCCCGCCCCTCCCGCCGTTCCTGTGGTCTTTGCGTTGGAGCCGCTCGAGAGCAGGCCTGTCGTTGCTCGACCGCAACTCATGGACCTAAGGCGCAGCGTGAAACATGGGTGCATCTACGCCTCCCAAGCGTGGTTAGTGGGTTGGGCGGAGGTTTCGCTCCGCATCGACGGTGCATCGGCGACGAGGTCGATGTGGGGCCGGTGCGTCGGGCGTGCGCTGGCGACGCGGCGAGACCTTGCGACCCCGTCTCGTCTATTCGGGCCCCGCCTGGGAGGCCTCAAACGCACCGCGCAGTGTTGTCGGCGAGGGGGCCGAGGAGTTCGGCGAACGAGCTCGGCGTCGAGACGCTCGGGAGCCCCATGGACTGGGCAGACGGGGCGTCTGTGCGCAGAGCTCCTGGGCCTACAGCTTGACGTGGTGCATGCGTCGAGACCCTTCTAGTGGTTGTGCAGCGCTGTCGCTTTATTTGGGCCGTGCCCAGGTGCGCGAAGTGCGCGCTGCGACCTTGCGCCTTCGGCCGCCCGAGCAAGCGCGTTTCCGAGGGGGGCCCTCCTGACCTCCCAGCCCACGGCGTTTGCGATGGCAAGCAGAGCGATGCGTGCCGCCGCCGCCGCCTATGCTGCCCCATCCCCTTTTCCTCCTCGTCCTCTTCTCCCTCCTCCTGCCTCTCCTCCTCCATCTCCTCGCCCTGAAGCCATTTCCAGGTGTCGAGCTTATCGGGGGTGCTTTTTTGGGGGGCCGGCGCACGTGGGAATTGCGCAGCTGGCCAGGGCCAAACATCAGTGCATGGCCCAACCTGGGACATCCTGTCAGACGCAGAAGACCCCCTCAGTCGGCGTTGCAAGCGCAGAAGAAGGTCACTGGGCAGGGGTAGTAACGAGCAGGAAAACAACCGCCGGCTGACCGCTGGCTCAAGGGCCCGCCCGAGTCTGGTCAGAAAGGGGCTCGGCCCCGCCGCGCTCTCGGCATAACACTTCGTCGCGCTGCTGCAGGCGAGGGCGCGGGGCAAGGGTGCGCGGCTTTCCTGCGATGTCGAATCTGCTTCGATACGTCGGAAGAGGCGCGGCCGTTGGGCCTGTCCGAGGACGGGCGCCCAGGGCCTCCTGCAGCGCAAGCAGAGGAAGTCAGGGCAGGTCGAGGGGGCGCTGCAGAGAGTCGAGGCCGCTAGACAGGCCTTGCAGCCGGCGCGCGAGCTCTTCGATGAGGAGAACATGCGGCTGCTCAAACACAGGGGGCACATGGCGGACATCGAGGAACACATCGGGGAGGCGCGCGCCGCAACCGTTCTTCAGATGCCCCCCCCAGCTGGTGAAGCGGCGGGCTCCAAACGTGAGATCGCTTCGGCAATCGTGGGGCAGCGTTTGCGTGGCTACGGAAGTCGTTTCGGCGTCGATGCAGGCGCGGTCTTGAAGCAGGCGGCGGGTAACAATAAATAGGGTCGCGGCGTGGTGTTCGCGAGAGATGGTCGCGGGCGAAAGACGGAAGCTGTGGGCGGCTATTCCCAGATGTATCTTCAGAGGAGTACGCCGAATAGCAGTGGAGAGAGTGCTGCCGTACCTCCTGCTGGGCAGCGCCGCCCAAGGAGCCCGCCCGTCCTGGCGGGGCCAGCGGCCCGGGGCATTCTGGGGCAGGCGGTGGAAGCGTCGTGCTGACAGGACAGGGTGGCGAGGGGCCCCCAGACGCTGCCGGCGTCGGCGGGGGGGGGGGCAGCGGCAGCGGGCGGCCATTTTCCATTCAATTTCCAGGGGGGGCGCCGAGGAGCGGTCGCGGGGGTGGCCTGTCCCTGCTGGGCAGCGCCGCCCAAGAAGCCAGCTCCTCCCAGTGGCGCCGGCAGGTTGGGGCGCCTGGGGGAATGCGGCGCAGGCGTCGCGCGAGGAGGGGCGGGGGCCCCGTTGGCGCTGTGGATGTCCAGGGCGCCGTGGGCGCCCGTAGTCGTGGGTGGCTATGTCCAGGTGTGTTCCCAGTGGGGGGCGTCGTGGAGCGGCCGAGAGAACGCAGCGGGGTGCCGGGCGGCGCCGCCCGAGAATCGCGCCCCCCGCCGACGGCGCCAGCAGCCCGGGGCGCCCGGGGGCAAGCGGTGGGGGCGTCGTGCCGGCGGGGGGGAGTAGCCGGAGAGGTTCGGGGGGCGCGCTGGAGCTAGGGGCGAGCTCTGCTAGCGTCGGCCTGGCGTGATAGACGGGCGGCAGATTTCGCTGGGTTCGGGGCTGGTCAACCAAGCTGGCGTGCCTCCAGTATCATCGCCTCGAGTTTAGTGGCCAGCTCGCGACGGCGATGTCGCGGCTGGCCAAGCGCGGGCTTCAAAGTTCACTTCGCGCTGCGGAAGTCACGGGGCATGCCGTTCTCAATTCGAGTGTTGGCGCAGTGGTGCCCAGTCGCCAGCCGGCGGCACATTGCCCCGGCCTTGCGACCAGTAGTTTGTCAGTGCGGAGGTTTGCCTGTATAGCGTGTAGCGTGGGTCTGGCGCGGCCGCTGCGCATGGTCTTCCCGTGCCTGATCGCGTCAGTCTGTTTCGATGGTAACGTTGGCCTGCTAGCAGAGTTGTTGAGTTTACATGGGGGCCTCGACGGGCCATGGCTTCATCTGGGAGATGGGGGCATTTTGCCGCATGAGACCGTAGAGCGGGCCTCCAGAGCAAGAAGGGTCACCGTGCAGACGGGGGCGCCCAGGTCGGTTCCAGAGTCTGCCGTGGGTTTTAAGAGGTGTCGAGGTGCTCGGTGGGGGCGCCGAGGCGAGCGCGCCCTGCTTTTCGCGTCGCGCCGAAGGGTCCAGGGCGAGCCGTTGGTCGCGGGGCCAGATTTCCCATTCGAGATTCAGGTTGGGAAGCCGCTGATTGCGCGGTTGGCGCCGTGCCCCTCGCGGGCTCCCGGCCCTGGGTCGTGGGCGTGGCGCTCCCGCGGGATCTCGGTGAGGCGCGCGCCGCGTGGTTCGACTGAGCGGGTGCCTACCTTGCGGATTCTCGCGACCTGAGCGACTGGAGTCGCAAGTTGTGGAAAGGGCGGGTTGAAGGTGTCAAGACAGTCATTGAATTCTTTTCACGGATTGGGTGCGCTGGCTCAGGCAGCGCGCCTCTGTCGAGCACCGTAGATGGGCGAGTGTCTATGCGGCGGCCTTGCGCCTGCGCGCCCTGGGGTCGGCAGCCGGAGACCGACGAGTGCCCGACCTCGCGGCTGCAGGCTTTCGGGATTTCGTCGAACAGCGCCCGCCGTGCGTTGAGCCGCTTGCAGGGGGTCTGGGCGGCGGGCAGGTGCTCGATCCGCTGCCGCCGCTGACGTTCGATGGGATGGATCCGGCGCTGGCCGGCTACCGTGTCTCGGCTCGGCTCGGCTCGTGTGGGGCAGGGCGCGTCCGCGACGAGTCTCGCGGCTGCCAGTCTAGGAGCGCGCTCCTTGACGTTCTGCTTTCGTGGGGGGCGGTCTTCCCAGGAGCGTGGGCTGCGCGCGCCCCTAATGCTCTGTCTAGCGAATCGAGTCCCCAGGCGGAGTCGGGCCGATCGTGCCGTGCTAGGCGCGGCGTCGCGCGCGGTCGACGCGTCGCCGGCCTGCTGCGAGGCGCTGGAGGGCGGGCCTAGGGAGGTCTGCGTTCTGGCGGGGTACGGGGCGCGCGTGCGACAGGTCTGGTGGCGCGCGCAATCAGCTGCGACGTTTCGATGAAATTGAAGGTTCCTCGGCAGTTGGCGGCGCGGCGATGCCGCCCCGAGTGCTGCGAGTGCGTCTCGCGCGGAGAATTGCGCGTGGAAGCAGTGCAGACAGGCGTTCATTTCAGGCAGCTGCAGTGTCTGCATGCCTCGCGCCGTCTCCCTGGGCGGGCGATCTGCCAGTTGGCAGTTTCAGGGGTCGTGTAATCCAGGGGTTGTCGCGACGTGCTGCTGCGCGGCTTTTGCATGTGCTGGGCTGTTGGCCCGCGCTCTAGCTTGTGAGTTGTAGCGTCAGTTTCCATCGGTTTGGTTCCAGAACCTCGCGGGTGTTTTCCTGCTCTAGTATGCTGGCAATTTAGTGTGCGTCCCCCGATGCGCTCGCGGCCCTGGTCTGGGGGCTGGGGGCCAGTCGGTGTCCTGTCAACTGGGGCAATGCGGGGCAACCAGCCGGTTTTAGCGAGCTAGTGCCAAGCCTGAATGAGCGTTGGGCCTTGTCCGAGGCGGGCAGGTCTGTGGGCGTCAGGTGTCTAGGCGCGGATGCTGGCGACTGTTCGGCCCAGCGGGCTCCAGGACAGAATGGGCAGTTTCAGAAAGCAGCGCGCGTCGCAGCCGAGGTGCTGAAGTTGGGGGGCCCGACGGCGACGGCCGCCGGGTGTTTGGCGGTCGTGGGCTTCGCGGGCCGATAGCTGCGCGGCCTTAGGGTCGCTGCCTCCAGGGCTGATGGGGCGCTTGCCCAAGCGTGTCTCGATAGGATTGCGCCTGCGAGCCTCTGTGCGCGGTTTTTTTTGGGCCCGTTTGTCGTTTGCTCGGACGCAGTCGTGATGCGCCGGGCCCTGGCGACCGTCTCGGACCTGCCTGGGCGCGACCCAATGCAGGCTGTCTGGGAGGCAGGTCTCGGGCTGCTCTCGAAGGCCGGGCCTGAGCCCGGCGTGGGCCGTGGGCCCCGCGCAGACGGCCCCGGTCTCCGGGGCATTCGCAAGGAGCGGAGGATTGGAGTCTTCATGGCTCCGTCTTTTCCCGTTCGGCATTTTTGGATATGCGTGTTCCGTGCTCGAGTTTAGTGCAT